TGGCAGCAGCTCCGTAGCTGCCTGCCAAGACCTTTTACTCCAAACACACAGAAACAAAAACAATACACACAGTTGAAAGCCACAGCACACTACTTTGCCAGAGATTCAGCTTTTGTCCGTCACAGAGGTCCAAATGGCCACCACCACCCTTTTATAGCCTGTGGGGTGTGGTCCAGTGACTCAGCTTAATCTCTGGCACATCTCTTTTTCTGCTGCGCACGCTTGTCGCTCCTATGCTGGCGTGGATCCAGCCACAACTTCTCTTCCTCATTATCCGACACACCTGGCTCCTGGCCAATCTGAGAAACACCGGGCTCCTGGCCAATCTCAGAACCACCTGGCTCCTGGTCAATCTCTTCTCCGTCGGGAGACACCTGAGGCATTGCCAAAGAGGAGGGTCCTAGAGAGGGAGGCCTGGCCATCTCCTCTCCTTCATGTTCGAAGCCTTTTTCCTCCGATAAGAGGGGCTCACAAGATGGAGCCACAACACGACCTTACCCAGATGACTACTGATTACTGCTTTGACATGGGACAAACCGTGAGGTGTTGATTTCAAACACTTGAGAGTTTATGCCTGGTAGCACTTCCTGAATAACAGGTTTCCCCCCAAATTGACTGAATGATTCTTCCTGTGAGAAATTAGGAACAGACTGAAAAAGGAGCAAAAGGGAGACTGAACATCATCAATCAAAAGGCAGATGGAACATCCATTGGTCATCTGGCTCATCAAGACAGAGTTCCACAACCTTTGGAGATTGGGGGGGGGCAGGGAGGAAAGAAGGGATGGTTTCATTGGGGATGTGTGAATGCATGCTCACGTGGACATGAATGAACACATGTTCGTGTGAGTGGGGCCGTGAGCGCTTACGCAAGTAGGGCATCAAGCATCGATGGGGCTGCAAACACCCGCAATGCTCGGATGAGAGGGGCAGCAAATGCATGCACGCTTGTGTGAACGGGGCCGCGAACACCTGCAATGCTCATGCAGTTGCAGCCACAAACACCAGTGACACTTGCGCAAATAGGGCTGCGAATGCCAGCAACGCTCGCGCAAGGGGCTGTGCACACGCCTGCAGTGACCGGCCACTCATGTGGCCAGGTGGCCAATAGGCAGTAGCCCGGTAGTGGGCTATGGCCCACAAGCTGGGAACCCATGTCATAAGAGGCAACTTGGCCCAGATGGAAGAAACTTTTCAAAATCAGTGAGAGACATTCCACCTGACAATAAATGAGGGCTACAAAAGTCCTCTTGCAGTTTCCAAGAAGCTGTATTTATCCAAGACTAGCATCAGACATGAGAGCCAGTTTGGTATCGCAGTGAGGTATTAGACATAGCTGACTCAGGAATTCTGGGAGTTGAAGTCCATGAGTCATAAAAGAGCCGAGGTTGCCTACCCCTGAACTAGGAGATCATGACTTCCAAACCTACCATAAGCATGAAGCCTGCTGAATGACTTCAGGCCAGTTATTTTCTCTCAGCCCTAGGAAGCAGGCAATGGCAAACCTTGCCAAGAAATCTTGTCGAGAAAACTGCAGGGGCTTCCCCAGGCAGTCTCCAAGTGGAACTGGACAACTCGCTGTAGCTGACTCAGCCCAGCCACCTTGCTGCAGGGCAACTGGCCCTGGCCAACTTGCCGTGGGACAATTCAACACGAGATAACTCAAGAGAGGGACAAGAGGGACAAGAGGCTCCGTGCTCTGGCTCACCCCAGCCTCGAAGACTTGTAACCTGAGAAGGTTCAAACCTAAAGCAAGGTTTGCTGTAATTCACTTGTCCCTCTCTTGAGTTATCCCGCACTGAATTGTTCCGCAGCGAGTTGGGCGTGGCGAGTCAGCAAGGGTGAGTCAACCATGGTGAGATGGCTGGGACAAGTTGGCCGTGGTGAGTTATCCTGGACCTGTCTCCAAGAACCGGACCCAACAGAACAGAATGAAAAACAAAAAAAATCATTAGCGGTACCTTTCTGCAGTCTGTAATTCACGCTTCCTCAATCTTGCTGGGCTGCGTGGGGGACGATATGCATACCCAAACTGGTCACACCCATCTGCCATTGTGCTGGGTTTACCCCAGGCCTTTGCCTGGTTTTTTTTTTAAAAAAACAGTGAATAAAGATAGCTCCCTTACCTGAACATTCTGGATTGTGACACTCCCTGGCATCAGCGTGAGCTCCTTTGCACTCTGCCAAGCCATGAGCCAAGACACTGCATTTGCGGGTTCGCTGCTGAGTCCCATTGGAACATGTCACTGAGCACCGGCTCCAGGATCCCCAGTCCAGCCATTGGCCTTCCACTGTCACAAAAAAAGCACAAGCAAAAGTCCTTTCATGAAGGATTGAGTAATTCAAGATGTTCTTCTTTCAGTTCAGACCACCATCATCTCCATCCCCTCTAGGTCCCAAAGTAGGAATCCCTCATGAAGCTTCTCCTCAAACTTATCTTGAGCAGAATGAACAATAAGATGGTCGAGATCAGGGGTAGGCAACCTTGGCTCTTTTATGACTCGTGGACTTCAACTCCCAGAATTCCTGAGCCAGCATGGCTCAGCTTGGAAACCTCTCCCTTTCCCCTCAGCATGGATGGCTCAGGAATTCTGGGAGTTGAAGTCCACGAGTCATAAAAGAGCCGAGGTTGCCTATCCCTGGTCTAGATGAACCACTGTCTGAGTTCTACAATGTATTTTCCTTCAAAGAAGAATGATGCAACTGAGCAGGCTCTTACCAACAACCACATCACACACCATGAGAAGGAAGGGGGTGAAAAATAGGCAGGAAAATCCAGTGACCAACATGCTGTAAACCAGACTTTTCAATTCATGGTACACCGTAGTTTACAATAGTGCTTCTCGACCTCAGCAGTTTTAAGATGCATGGTGGATGGAGAAATTCTCAGAGTTGTAGTCCACACATTTTAAAGTGGCCGAGACTGAAAAATGCTGGTTAGGTCATAGTTTCCAGCTTCACATAGAAAAGAGAGATTGAAATGAAGAGAGGACAGAGTTACCAGTGAAACCTACTTGGTAAGGACAGCAATCTCTGAACTGTTTGAGCATAGGAGAAATATAAATATATATAAAATATATAAAATAAAATAAATATTTTAAAATAACTAATCCTCACTCTTTATATATCGGGAGGACTGTGGTAGCAAGTTCTGCCTAACCTTGTTAATTCCCCCCCGTGTTTTATCGCATTTGTTAATGTTTCAACTTCAATAACAGTTGCCAGGTGCAAAAGATCAGGACCACATGTGAGGTTCCAACTAAACTGATTTACTGCTCATGCCTATGTACAAGAATCTTTGGTCACCATGATGTAAAAAAGATGCTGAGACTCTAGAAAGAGTACAGAGAAGAGCAACAAAGATGATCAGGGGACTGGAGGCTAAAACATATGAGGAACGGTTGCTGGAATTGGGTATGTCTAGTTTAATGAAGAGAAGGAGGAGGGGGGACATGATAGCAGTGTTCCAATATCTCAGGGGCTGCCCCAAAGAAGAGGGAGTCAAGCTATTCTCCAAGGTGCCTGAAGGCAGGACAAGAAGCAACGGATGGAAACTGATCAAGGAGAGAAGCAACTTAGAACTAAGGAGAAACTTCCTGACAGTGAGAACAATTAACCAGTGGAACAACCTGCCTCCAGAAGCGGTGAATGCTCCAACACTGGAAGTTTTTAAGAAGAGACTGGACAGCCGTTTGTCTGAAATGGTGTAGGGTTCCTGCCTGGGCAGGGGGTTGGACTCGATGACCTCCAAGGTCCCTTCCAACTTCATTATTACTATTATTATTATAATCTACTCAGTTGATGGTTAGCAGTATTTTGGCACTAAATAAGGGTTAACAGAATTCAAGAGGGGTTGGATTTAGTCTGTTTGTGGCTACATAGAGACTCTGTGCTGATTCCTCTTTTGACTCCACCCCAGGCTCTCCTTCTCTACGTTGGTCTCTGAAGGTCCCTTTTGGAAGGGGGGGGGGTCTTTCGCAGACAGGTTTTTCAGACAAGATGCAAAAGACTGACAGATAAAATTAGGGCGCATGCTTAGACTTCAAAACTGAATAAAATAAGCAGCTGATGGTGAGAGATTACAGGAAGGCTGGAAAGGAACGGAAGAGAGAACAAAGAACAGCAGACAAAACAATTGAGGGCTTATCTCATAAATGGCTGCTCAGCCCAAGCGGGAAGAAATCTGCTAAGAGGCTTTTCGAAGGATTCAAAAGAATCTCTGCCTTAATGGGCTTAACTCGTTATAAAGGAGTCTGAGGATTCCTTAGAATTTGGTTCTAGGGTTCTGCATTGCCGACAGTCCCTCTGGATCGAAGTTACAAAGGATAGCGCACTACACACCTTTTATGCATTTGTAATAACTTACAAGTGGAAGATTTGACCCATTGCTTATTTCATAACAAACCTTATCAGGAACCTAGAGCTAGATTCATTCCGCCCTTGTTACTTCAACTATATTAGTTTTAGTTTGGAAGAAAAAAAAATCTATTTTCTGTTGCCTGATGGAGATGAACAGGTAACAAAACAAGTTGCATTGTTCGCAATGGCTGTAAGGAAGATATGAAAGAACACACTGACAAATAGCAGCTGTTAACGTTAGAGGGGATGTATTGAACTAACATGATTGCTGTAATTTTTGATGTCGTTTGCTAAAATCTATGGTTGCAAATATTTAAATACAAAAAAAAAAAACACGCAAATATACTGTATTTCTCCGAAAAAAGCATTAAAGTTACTTTAATGCAACCTTTGTAAGGGCAAGACATTAATGCAAAAATGATAACTGCGTCTCCTATTCTTCTCCTAGCCACATTTTGCGATAGTCCAAGGCAACAACATTGTACATTTCCTCACTAGCAGGTCCTATCAATAGCAGCCAACGTTGTGAGAAGGAAAATCCCAAATTATAACAAGATTGGGGCATGAGTGTAAGTCAGTGTGAACTTAAATCTATTTGTCCGCATGTTTTTTTTTTCTATTGAAGTTCTGTCTATCATCTCTACTGGAGTTATGACAAACCAAAGAAATATTGGGATCCGATTTTTATACTAATTCAGAAGATTTTTAAATATAAAAACGAACCCCTATTTTTTTCCTCTTAGGTTTGAAGAGTTTGAACAAAAATTTGGAACTTACTATGTATGTTAGCAGCAGCAAAAAAATTTATATGCACAAATATAGAAAGGTATACTAATTTGTACAATGGATGGTGGCAGTAAAGGTGATAGATTGGCAGAGAGGGCAAAATTGGCTATGCTAATTAAAAGAGAAAAAAATCTAATTTTGTTTCTATTTGGAAACCACTTCTGGGTTTTGTAGTCAAAAATGAAAAATACAAAATTCTAATTTTGGATTTTGACGATTGCAATGATTTTGTGTTGTTATACAAAGATTGCAGGTTGTAACTTTTTTTGTATTCTATTGCAATGAAAAAAATCAGAAGTCCTTCCTTCCTTCCTTCCTTCCTTCCTTCCTTCCTTCCTTCCTTCCTTCCTTCCTTCCTGTGTTAAAATTTTGTTTGCATTTGTATTTTAATTTATAATAAACTTTAACATTTTAAAAAAATATTGGGGTATGAATTCATTGCTCAGGAACAAAGACCTAGCAGTGAGACCCCCGGGGTCAAATTTAATATCCTTTTTCCCCTCTCCGCAGGCCAAGAACGTATGGAGCAATAAGCCTTTGTGGACAGTAGCTCTATCTGGAGAAGAATTGCTATTCGGCTCTGTGACACTGAACTGTATGGCTGCTGTTTTTGCCACCAGAAGCAGCAAATGTAATGGAACAAGTTGTTTCAGATGAAGCCAGCAACAAAGCACAAGATGACATTTCAGTTCCTGGTCCAGAGCTACACACGGACTCTCTCGCGCATTTATCTAAGTCTAAGTGCTACTTAACAAGTACAGGATAAAGCAAGCCTTGATGCCACCTCATCATAGGAAAGTATCTGAAAAGGAGGAGAGTCTGTAGGAGAGTCTGGAAGAGGCTTTGAAACTCAGAGAAGAAGTCTTGAAAAGACGTCTGTCTTCCGGGGAGTTGGTTTTTTTTTTAAGCCTACTAAGATCAATTCTAGGCTGTGTACTCCTTGCTTGTAGAATCCTCCAATCTGTGGTGTTCAAAAGCTATTACTTATCTGGGATGTCCTCAATTCTCCCTTCCCCTGTGTTATCTGGAAAGAGGGAAAGGCAAGCAGAGGGGAAAGTGTGGTGGGACTGGGAAAAATCTTCTGTAACCCAATGCTAGGAGATAAATTAAGGCTCTGTAAAGCAGCTGCAGCTTCTCCTTCTTCTCCTCTTCACCTTAGAGAAGGTGCTGTCGGTATATTGGTGACCTACGATGATTAGATTTAGCCTCAGTGTTCCCCCAAAAATTGGAATGCAGCATCATCAACGATAATACAGATCCATTACCCTTTCCCATTCTTCTTCATCACTTTGACTAATTCCTTCCCCCCAACATTGCCCAGGTTTAGGCTTGAACATTTTTCCCCAGTAAGATTCCATTTTATTCTTGACTAGCTGTACCCGGCCACGCGTTGCTGTGGCTCAGTCTGGTAAAAGCGTGTGTTGCTTTTACATCCAACAGATGGCGCTGTTTTTCAAAAAAGCATGTTTTCCCTGTCACAGGTGTGACATCTATATAATAGCAGGTATATAAAAACATGCGCGTATTCGAATGCAACGTTGTGTCAAAGTTTCAAAGCAATCGGTGAAGAACTTTCGGAGATTTAAGATTTTGAACAAACGAACATTTACATTTTTATTTATATAAGATTTTATAAACATAAAGCTATCCAGTGAGGATCGTGAGTCTTGCTCAGCCTGGATATAAATGAGAGATGGTGGATTTGGTGAAGTAGTAGGCTGAGTACCAACATTATGTTTCCGATGAAAATCAATCTTAGACCAAGAAAGTGGAAAAGTAAACTTTTGAAGAACAACGTGTGGCAACGTAGATTGGTTTCCCTGTCTAACTCATGATGTCTTTCTTCCCTTACCGGTCAGGATGTTTCCTTAATCTGGAGTCCTTTATATTTGTCTCTGCCAGTTCTTAAAAACAAACCTACGCTGACTTCTGACAATGTCCTGTACAGAACTATAACTTTTTCAGCAATATTGTGAAATGGTTGGCATTATCTTCTCCCAAGGTGTTTTTTTTCCTCTTCTCTGTTTAGCTTAGAGCTTTGACACCCCTCTACTCATCCTCAAGCTTCTGAATCCAGAGAAGGTAGATGAGGTCCTGCCAGCTGTTGAGATGACCTCCCCATAGTTAGTCACCCTTGGTGGTAAGA